GGTGTGGGAAAAGGCTGGCGTGCTTATTTTGCATAATACGGGAACTACCCGCGTCCCAGTGTTTTCAGGGCGCAGTGGGTTTGTTGAATTGTAATAATTGCCACCTGATCCCATATTCGACCAGTTCCTGATCATGAAAATATGCCCAAAAGAAAAATAACGGCGAAAAAATACATCTAAACAGATTCTTCATCTTAAACACTTACTATTCCACGTTTTCCAGGAAATCTGCTGCGCGCTTCGGAAACCTTGCAGCAGCTCAGGAGGGTTGCAGGTCGGTTTTAATTCATTAGATAATCCAAGAGGAGATTGGAGAAAGGCGTAGATGCATTGGAACGTTTTATGAGACTGTATAACATCCATTTAGTTTCATTGTTTGTGCAATAATGGAGGAATTCTGGCGAACAAAAGGTGGGGACAACCATAGCTGAAACGCTGCTTGGCCGTAGACGCAGCTTGGCACATTCTCTACGCAAACCAAAACGGATTTCGATTGGACGGGAGAAAGGGACGCATGGGCGGGGCTTCCTTCTCTGATTGGTCGAACGAGTCGGAATGTATCTGCTGATTGGTTGAGATAATTAAAAAAAAGTTCAGACGATTCAGTAAGAAATACTTTTACTGCTATTTTGACGCTAAAATGCTCTATGTATGAAACCAGTTATTAACACAGGAAAGGCAGAGGATCTTTTTCTCATTTTATATTATGTAGGACTAAAAATAATATATATATTCCATCAAATTGTTTAAATTCTCATAGCAAATATTTGCTTCATACAAAAACCTTTCTTTCAAACATGCTTTTTTAAAGCTACAGTGTGTAATAATTACAGGGATATACAGTCAGAAATGTAATATATTATACATAACTATGTTATTTATTATCATCTACGAGCTCAGCCTCTTAACCTTAATATTTGCGTTGCCTTAGATTTCGTTATTTATAATTACATAGGAGCGGGTCTCGCAGCCATGGAGGCAGACATCTTTGCGCTACGGCAGCGCAGAGCCAACAAACTAGCGATTGGGAGATTACGCTCGAAAGTAACTACGGCAAGTTGAGAGAGATGAACTGAGACGGTACTGAATACACAGACTAATGAAATACTATCTGTAAAATTATCTATGTAAACAAACCTCATCACTTGAGAAGGTAGGTGATGCGGACGTCGTGGAAGACATTTTGTCCCGTAACGCTCACCGTACTGTTGGGGGGGAGAAGCGGTGGGGGGGATGTTCATACGATTGGGCCAATAATCGTCCGTACAATAACACGCAGTTCCACATTGCAAGCCGATTGGGCCAATAATCGTCCGTACAATAACGCGCAGTTCCAACCTGTATTTTATGCGTGCGCATGTTTTTTACGTCACCACGCGTTCTGGCTGGAAACGCGCGGTGACTTAAAATACGCGCGCTCGCGTAAAATACGTGGCGTTAATAATGTTTGGTGGTGGACTTCTGGTAATGGCAGCAGGGTGATCACACGCCTGGAGTTTGCTCCCTGACCATTTGTAACTTTAATACCTCTAAATTCCGACTTTTTGACCTATTTTCTTGTCAGCGCAACACTTTTGATACTAAAATGAGTAAATCCCACGGGACCCGCCAAGGGAAAAACCAGCCTCAGCTGACTCAGCACTTCAGTTCGCATGATAAAGATGCTAGTAAGGCAGAAGCTAGCAATGTAGCAACAGGTGGAGCCCAACCGTTAACACTGGACATGCTCGTCGGTGAACTTCAGAAATTGCGCAAAGACGTAACAGGTGAACTCACCTCCTCCCTGAATACGGCCATGGCTCCTATCCAAGCTTCTCTGCAGAAGATCGCTGATACAGTAGCCTCACACACAGCTACCATCTCCGTAATAGAATCAGCCCTCACTTCCCATTCAGATGACCTGACGACTCTGCAGCGCGAAGTGGCCGCGCTGAAGTCCAAGGTGGAGACCAACACTCAGACGAATGAAAAGCTACAGCGGGTTGTTGAGGACCTGGTTTCACGATCCAAACGGCAGAATCTGCGTGTGATCGGCATCCCTGAGGGAGTGGAGTGGACCGATGCTCGTTTTTTCATGACCACGCTGTTTAAGGACGTGACCGGAGGCACTTTACAGGACACCAGACATGTTCACAAGTCATTTTTTGCAAGTCCAAGTCAAGTCTCAAGTCTTGAGGGCTCAAGTCCAAGTCAAGTCTCAAGTCTTGAGAGCTCAAGTCCAAGTCAAGTCTCAAGTCTTGAGAGCTCAAGTCCAAGTCAAGTCTCAAGTCTTAAAAAGGCCTGTCGCAATAATCAATTAATCGCACAAAAAATTCTAATCACTTGATTAATTNCTGAGGACCTGTGCAGATGAGCTCTGTCAGATCCTCAGCAACATGTACAACCTGAGCCTCAGCCTGGGGGTGGTCCCCACCCTGTGGAAGACCTCCTGTGTGGTTCCGGTTCCCATATCAGCCGGATTGGAGCAGTGGTTCTAGAGGAAACTTATTTGGAAAATTAGTTTGTGGAAAGACACTGCATGCAGTTTCTCCCTGTGTTTACAAACGTAGGTGAGAAACTTGGGAGAAGCTGCATGCAGTCTCTCTTCACCATAAAATGGAGTCCACCTGGAAGCAACCGCAGGGAGGCTGAAGAGCAGACCATTTTCTGGTGGGATTGGTGGCTGGTTGCTATTCAAGGTAATTTTACACACCTGTCCTTAATTTGCATTTGAACCAATGGTGAGTGACCTCTCCCTATCCTTCTACAGATGAAGAAGTAGACATCTCCTTAGAGCAAATACTTGTGTTTGTGTCAGGGGCGGATATCATTCCCCCGCTTGGGTTTTCACCAAACCCATCAGTTGAATTTTTTGACCAGGAACCAGGAGAGCAACGCCTGCCGTACTCCTCTACCTGCAGCATCACCCTTTTCCTTCCAAGAGGAGGGGAGTGTGAGGAGCAATTTAAAGCCACGATGGAAATGTCCATCAAGGGCTCACATGGCTTTGGAATAGTCTGATAAAAAAAAAAAAAAACCCTGGTGATAATAATAGTTTCAAAGGTTATCAGTTTTCTGACCTTTCTTATGGTTCTCTTAGATGTATAATGTAAACCAGTTTAAGGCTTTATATTATGGACTCATTGAACCATACTATACAAAGTTGCTGTGCACTTAAAGATGGCCCATTGAGATGCAACATATCCCGCTAAGGAGTAAAATTGAAGCATGTGTGCAAATTAAGCATACTCTACAATATAACTGAGGCTGATCCACAGGTCATGAGCACCAAAGCAAGAAAAAAGCATCAAGTATAGAGCAGTGCAGATTTATTTTTGCTCACACAGCAACATGCTTTGCAAGTTTGCATCAGTCTGATTTTGGAGCAACACTGTGATGATAGACAGATCCTTCTTGCATAGTAATACACTAAATACGTTAAATGGACTAAATCTAATTTTTTTTTGACAAATTGTAACAATCATATTGGTAAAAAAATAAATGAAGCTTTGGATTGCAACCGGAACAAAAATGGCCTTAAGAAAGCTGGCTGGTGGAACACATGATGTGTGTTAGGAAAACAGTAATTAGTCCACTCAAGATTTATCTTTGTTCACTTAGCAACTTGCTTTGTGCATTTGAAGTCCGACCGATTTTAAGCCATAGCCATGATCTCCTCTACAATAAAACAGTTCATAAACAAGTTAATGAATGCTATGTTTATGATGTTTAAAATGGTTATAAAGGAGGCAGAGCTGAAATTCTCATTGAAACCACCGGAAACAAAATAGTCATTTGGACAAATTGAAACATTGAAACTATAATTTCATCATCCAAATAAAGTGTGTAAATTAAGCATACAAGTGTAATTAAGGTGTAATCTGGACAAAAATGGCCTCAAGGAAGTGTTTGATAGGTGAGGAGCAGCAGAGCTGGTTGGAGGAACACAGGAGGGAAGATGTTGATGACCTGGGGTGTGTGAAGGATTAGGGAACCAAATATTTGAGCTAGTGCTTACTCCTTGTCAACTTGTAAAACTTAGATTAGTTGGAAATTGTACATTTTGAATATCAGCAAGCCATACAGTATTTGGTGTGACAATTTAATTCAGGATTCTGACTAAGCTTTGTTAGACTAACTTACAGTCTGTAAAATTAGGTTATAATACAAACAGTAGTACTGACGCATTTAAAGAAAGACACGAAGATAATAAAACAGTACATACAGACAAAAAAAATGAAGCATAGCGTCACATAATACTGTTTATTCCCTGGAAAATGGTATAGTTTCATGCTCACTTTGCATTCTTGGAAATTTAATATGATGATTCAAATCACAAAAAAGTGGTAGACAGACGTTTATCATGAATTTGGGCTTTCACTGCCATCTGCTGTCATATGAGAGTAAGTACAACTTGACGACCATAAGCTTTTTCATATTTCTTTTGTCATTTTAAACATGAAACTACCAAAGCACAAGCCAAGTGGTAGAACTAAATGTTGAAAAGAAATTAAAAGCTAAATAAAATAAACCAGGTCACTTAATAAAGCTGCATTTTCTGTATGCTTTGTATTTATATTCACATGATAATATTTTCAGAATTAATAATAACATTTCTGTTAAAGATTTAATTTATCTTCTGCACCAAGGGCATAAGTAGGGAGAACAAGCAGAGTGAGTTTTGTGTAATAACAGACTTTATTATTGAACTAAACAGGATTTAGATAGGATCAGAAAGGAAGGTGCATCTTCTTTCTGCCTTTCCCCAGCAATCAGGGATCTCCTGGTTGTTTCTGGTGCTGCAGTGTTCTTATTGGGTAAAACACCTTTAAATCTAGTGACTGAGCACCTAAAAGACAACCTCCTGATAATATAATATGCAAAAAACGTATTACGTAAAAAAAACGCGCGCTCGCGTAAAATACGGGTTGAAACCTCGCGTTATTGTACGGACGATTATTGGCCCAATCGGCTTGCCATAGCTTGGAACCGCGCGTTATTGTACGGACGATTATTGGCCCAATCGACTTGCCATAGTTCTTAATAAATGGTGCAAGTCAAGATGTCCAAATCGCCCGTAGATCCTCTGTCTGCTGTGGAAATAGGCTCCCAGTCGCATTATTTTCAGGTAAACCCACTCACTGCAGCTCTCTGACCATCCACCATGTATTTGGATTGTCTCAGATGCTACTTGTTGTTCTGTGAAGCGTCGCGGTTTGGCAGCAGGTACCTCAGCCAAACTGTACATTGATGCCAGAGCCACAGCTCTCTGTGTGTTTGGCTTCAATCCACCTGCAAAAAAAGATCAAAGCTGCTGCTTTTGGTTCAAACTCAGAGATCAGGCCTTTTCTTTTGCATTCATCTTTTATTATTTATTTCAGCGCGCTTTCCATCGTCTACAATAACGCGGAAAACCCAGCAGCAACATGATGGGATTGCGTTTCCTTTATTTATTTTGATTTATTTATTTATTTTTAGGTGTTGGAAATATTATAGCCTATATCTTAGTCCAACTTGTGGCTTAGAACCTGAGGCGCTCCATTTGTTGCTCAGAATGAATCCTCTACATTTTTGGCCCAGAAATTATATAAAGTTATAGCTTATTGTATCTAGTGCTGGACAGATGTTAGAAACTTAATTGGAGAAACTAGACTGAGGAAGACACGAATCACATACATCAACGTTATAAAGCTTACCAGGGCTGCTCCAAGCTTTTATGGGGCCCAGAGCAGAATCTGATTTGGAGCCCAGTAGAGCCCTACTAATCCAGATTTATGTGTGAACCAACATTTTGCATGAACATTCCCCTAAGCCACATCGATACAAGCTGTAAAGGTCATTACATTACTCTCTCGGATGGCAGTAAGCAGCTTAGTTTATTCCACAATTATTATTGTGTAAATGTTGTTATCTTTAGTTCCTCTTATGTTCAAATAATTTGCTATTTTTTTGTCACAAATGTGGTCTTCGTATCTATATATACCTTGTCTGTCTCTTTGAAGTCATTGGGTGAGATAAAGGGTATTTTTATCTACTGTTGGTGTTTTTATGTGGTAAAAATGGTAATTTACCCATTTTTTATATTTATTTGTTTTGTTTGCCGAATAGTTTTAATTGATAGCATGTCACTAAAGGGCTGGTTATACTCCGGTAGCAGTGTGTCGCAGTGATTTTGTCACAGGTATGACTCAGATATTTTTGAGGCCTGCGCTATGTAATTCCACGCCACAACGCAAGAGGGACAGTCACGAACTAGCTGTGAGGAAGTGGGGGCAAGTTTGTGCGACGAAGGAAGGGACATGAGGACGAAAAAGAGCGGGGATCCAGGTGGAAAAAGGGTCCCAGCGTTCTCACGCTTCTCGCTCTTTTAGCTGGTCCAACTTCACGAGTGGTTTTCTGCAATGGCGGTCATACAAATATAACAAGCCGGTAAGGTACCAAACAGGAAATACGCATGGGTAGGGCGGATGTAGAATTGACCAATCAGAGACCTTTTGTCTGCGGTCACCTACAATTTTGGAGAGGTGCACCAGAGTGTCTGCGGCAGGGGTGGGGACGTCTCTGCATTCACAGCGACACCTGCTCAGGCAACCTAGTTTTGAAGTATAAATCAGCCTCAACTCCTGGCCCCAAATCATTTAGTAAAAACAACCACAGAATTAAGCTATATTTACATAATTTTACATGAGTAAAGTGCTTTTATAACCATTTTAATCAAATGATAGGTTTTTCATATCTAAGGGATTACTGAAAAAAAAAACACCACTTTCTAATTAATACGCATGTACTACCTATTATTTCCTCACCTGTTTGTGTGTCGTTTTTCCACACAGCTGCCCAGGAAGTTGCCTAAACGCAAGAGCCGCTTCAAACGCTCAGATGGCAGCACATCCTCAGACACAACCTCCAGCTTCATCAAACGGCAGGTAAAGTTTACTTTATATTATAAATATTCAATAGAAATCTGTCAGTATATAATTGATAACAGCGCAGGAAGAGTTTCTTCTGTATAAAATATAGATCAGGTGACGTGAGGGCATTTGTAAGGTTTCATGCTGTATAAGGAATGGTGAGGAGTGATAAATATGTGTTTAATTAAGAACCAAGACAACAGTATGGGAACCTCTGGTAGTATATTTTCCTGATTTGAAATGTCGGCCTGCTTCTGTTCATCCACATTGCTGATGTCCATGTTTTAGGTGTTGTTTGTGTACAGCAGAGGGCAGCAAAATGTTTGAAAATTAAAGTGTGGGAAGTGTGGCACTGAAATCCCAACACAGCACACAATTTTTAATTAGTCATTTAGGGTCAGACACTTTTGGAAGACTAATTTGGTTATTTAAGAGGACTGCTGTGATTAAAATGATACTTAAAACATTTCACTCAAGCTGCGTTGGATTTTAGATTGACCTGTTAATCTGGAAGAAGAGTGTCCATATGCTGCTTCTGAAGAAAAATTCAAACTGATCTGACCGTGTAAAACAAATACAACTGTAGTTATAGTCAATAAGACAGGAAAGATTTGAGTCCAGAGATTTACATAGAAGGCAAAATGCAAGACAAAGTGGGGTTTGAATGACTTCAGGTGTTGCAATTAGTGAAACAGACCAATATTAATTTAAAAAAGTATTTTGTTGGGTATTGTTTTAATTTTGAAATACTACTATTGCAAGCAAATTTGAACTCTTCTATTTGTAGTTTTTCTTTCTTTTTGTAAATAGTTGTTTTATGCATAACTGTTTAAAGTCATCCTACTTTGTTACAATTAGATTTAATCTAAATTTTCAATTTCTACTGTGTGCCCAATATTCTTTTTTTGTTTTAAATAATTTATTTACTCAGTGCTGATACATCTGAGCTTTCCCACTGAGGGACAATATAGGACCTTTCTACTTTATGCTATTCTTAGACTATTGGGAGAAAACTACAAATGTGCTCAAAACCTTTTCTCTGGCATCTTCCTCTTTGTGGCAGGCCTTAGTTATTTTTTGATGACATCAGCTCAGGCAACAGAATTTGTTTTTGGTCAAGGAAACTGTTAACCATTTTTTCAGAGGTATGTGAGTATATATTAAATTACAAAAAAAAAAAGGAAATGTATGATATGCAGTCATGTTTGGCCCCCTTTACCCTTGCAATTCTTTCAAGACCTCAGAGGTTTGTTAGAGAGCATTTCTGAGCAAGCAACAGAATGAAGACCAAATAAAACAGAAAAAGGGTCAGGGATTAGTTTGGGAGGAGGTAACAATGCTACATTACATTTAAATACAACTAATGATTTAATTTAAACATTACATCAGTATCGAATGCTTCAAAACTCTACCTGTAATATATAATCTTTATTGTTGCATGCAGGAGTGGCAGCATTGTGCTGTGTGGAGGTTCTATTCAGCAAGAATTCAAAACTCTCCAGGGTTATTTAATGGTAATATGGGGATAGCTGCAGGATGAGGCAGGAGGAGGCATATGACCCTCAAATCCAACCTACCAAAGTAACTGAACATCACTTGCGCTGAGCAGGCTGTGTTCTTCACCTACCTCACTTCATCTGTCTGCACCCCATACCCCTCCCCTATTCTTTTTATTAAACAACCAATCAGTGATTAGTATGCAAATGAACTACAAGTAGCCTCACCTGACTATTAAGGGGTGTGAGACTTCTATCTCACTAAGGAAAAACCAAATTGGTAAACTCTGAGGAGGCAAAAATATGGAGGTAAATCTGTGTCGCTAGGATTTGAATTAAAAATGCCACTGAAATTTAAATATTGTATGTTTGTACTTACTGTTTCAGTGTTAAAATATATTCAGAACACATTTTTTACCTAAATAATAATTCATTGATTATTTCTACACAGTTGAAATTTCATTTGTTATTTTCTCTAAAAGCTAAAAATTCACATTACTATTTCAAAGTGATTACGTTTTCAATACTTATTTTTCAGTTTAATTTTTCAGTGTTAAAAAAATCTGCATATAAAAAAAATTCAACCTTTCAAAATTAAAACTTAATATTTTAAGCCTCCTGAGATTCAACTGGCACTATTTCACTGTCTTAAATTCGGCGTCTAAATTCAGTGTAAAAAGGGAAGGGTTACTTCAGGTCACAGACATTAGCAATGGATTGTGGTGTCCAACACCCAGCCAATCCCGTTACGTTTTCTTAGTCACGTGACGTGACGCTTGCGGCGCTCATACTGAAGGAAAACCAGCATGACGGAGCCGGTCATGCAAGCTAACGCTAACTCAATGGTGAGTTTATTACTTTTATTTTTCTGTAGTTTAGTTAGCGTTAGCTTGCATGACCGGCTCCGTNACTCGAGTCCCCATCTCTGCAGGATACGAAATTTGAACTGGACCGAGCTCACCGCAGCCTGGGTCCGAAACCGCCGCAGGGATCCCGGCCCATTATTGTGCGCTTTCATAGTTACATCCAGAAAGACAAAGTGCTGCTATGGGCGAAGAAAACACAGAGCATTTCATACCAGGGCAATCCCATAAGGATCTTTGAGGATTTCAGCGCTGCGCTCGCCAAGAAGCGGGCATCGTTCAACAAAGTGAAGTCTCTCCTCTACAATGATGGGATCCGCTTTGGGCTCTTCTATCCGGCGCGGCTGCGGATCACTGTTGACGGTCAGTCTCGCTTGTTTGACTCCGCGGAGGAGGCGGAGCGTTTCTACCGCTGTCTCAGCAGTAAGTGAAGACCTGACGTCTCGATACACACATCTTCTAACTTTCACGGAGCGCCACTAGAACTGAACTGTAGACACTATAGATATATGGTTGGAGCTGGAAGATTCAGCCCAGAGCTGAACTTAGTTACAGACTCATAAATAAGCTCCTAATATGTAAGCTCCAGTTATAATTATGACAAACGTTTGTGCGTTTAAATATTTGTTCAATATTTCTTATGAGAAGCACAATTCTGTTTGGGTTCTGTTGAGTACCTTTTTTTAAGCTGTCAAATATTAAATATTAGAGGTGTACATATTTCCACAATTAGGAAGGAAGCAAATTCCTATCAGTCAATCGGTTGTGTAAAGTGGTAATTCCTGCATGCTCATCTGTGTTTCAGATGAGGTTAGGACACATATATAAGAATGTTTTGAACCTGAAGGTGTCACTAAGGACATCTTCTGTTGTGTTTGGGACTTTTTTGTTTTTTCGATTTATTTTTAATGGAGGAGTATTTTCTTTTTTCATTGGTTTGCACAATGGCTTTGTAGATGTTGTTGCTACCTTGCCTCCCATTACTAAACTGACCTGGCTAGACCACCATTTCATCAGCATTTACAGGACTGACAGTTTAGCACTGATTTCATGATTGACATAAGGCAGAAGGACACAGGGCGAACCTTCAGGTTCACAAGCTGGAACGTAAGGGGGCTCGGTGGACCTATTAAGAGGACAAAAGTACTCTCACATCTTAAGTGTATGAAAACGGACATCTTGTTCCTCCAAGAAACCCATCTTCATCCTTGCGACCACATCAGACTGCGAAAACCCTGGGTGGGACAGGTGTTCCACTCCAACTTTAACAGCCGCTTGAGAGGTACAGCTATTTTACTGCACAAACGAGTACAGTTCTCAGCGGAACAGGTCATATCTGATCCCAATGGCCGTTATATTATTGTCGTTGGTGTGCTGTTTCAAACCCCTGTTATTATGGTTTGTGTTTATGCCCGTAACTGGGACTGCCCTAACTTTATGTCTTCCCTTTTTTCATCCATTCCATGCCTAGACACACATCATCTCATCTTTGGAGGGGATCTTAACTTATCTATCAATCCCATGCTCGACAGATCCTGTTTAAGAAAAATAACTAAATCCAAAGCAGCTAAATGTTTGTCTGTGTTCACAGATCAAATTGGCAGTGTGGATGTGTGGCGTTTTTACCATCCAACAGCAAAAGAGTTTTCTTTTTACTCCCAGGTTCATCAGACATACTCTCGGATAGATTACTTTTTTCTGGATAAGCTTTTACTACCCTCAGTGAAACAATGTGAATACTCATCGATAGTCATTTCAGACCATGCCCCCCTATTGTTAGACCTGGAACTAGCTCCTAAATCCAAAGGCCAATCATGCTGGAGATTAAACACTGGACTCTTATCATCTGACAAATTTTGTGAATTTATCTCTGATAAGATTTCCTGCTTTCTTGAAAACAACAAATCTGACTCTACTTCACCTTCTCTTCTGTGGGAAACCCTCAAAGCAGTAATCCGTGGAGAAATTATTTCATATAATGCCAGGACACGAAAGGATGAGAGGCAAAGAAAACTTGAACTGATCGCAGCAATTCATCAGATTGATAGACAGCACTACATCTCAGCCAATGCTACTCTCCAGATGGAGAGACTGAAATTACAAACTGAATTTGACCTTATTTCCACAAACAAAGCAAGGTTTCTTTTAAGGCGTACAAAGGGCACTTATTATGAATATAGAGACAAGGCTGGTCGGTTACTAGCAAGGCAAGTAAAACATCAGTCCTCTTCCCAATTCATTACTCAAATTCGTAAGAACCCCCAAACTTTAGTTACAGACCCAACTGAGATAAACAATACTTTTGCTTCATATTAGTTTGATTTATACAAATCAGAAGCCTCATCAGACAATACTCCAATGAACCAATTCCTAGATAATTTAATTCTCCCCTCTGTGGACAATAATTCCAAAAACATTCTAGATGCCCCTCTCAATCTGGAAGAGGTGAAAGCCAGCCTTAAATTAATGCAGAGTAACAAGGCACCAGGCCCGGATGGCTTTCCCTCTGACTTTTACAAGAAATTTTCTGACCAGCTTGCTCCTTTATTATTGGACATGTTTAATGACTCCCTTGAACGTGGCACCCTTCCGTTGACTTTAACTCAAGCATCAATATCGCTCATCCCAAAGAAAAATAAAGACCTTGAGAACTGCA